CTGTCTACCCTGGCTCACAAAAAAACCTCTTGTTTTAACTTCAAACAACTCCAAAGTTTATTTTCCCTTAGAATTCTAAAGATTTTCTGACTTGTTTATGAAGCAACTAGCTTGGACTTTTGGGAATTTGTTCTAGAGCTCTGAGTTGTCTTTCAATTTACAAGCCTGTTGCCCTAGGTAATAGATTCAATCTTCTAAGTTCATTGATTGCACATACTGAATGAAATCTTTGTTTAATGGGTTGTCAACCAAATTTATCTTGTTTGGTTTAATTTTGTTTTAAGTGTGGTGTATAGGTCTGACTACCACTCTTAAGAAAAACACTTAAGGTAAGTTTTCCTTAAAAAAAAAAACTCCTTTTTAAAAATTAAACCTTTTATTTTGAAATAAAGGTAAATTCATGTGCAGTTCTAAGAAATAACAGAGAGAGCCCAAATAACCTTTCTTTATTGTTTCCCTTGACAGTAACATCTTACAAAACTGTAACACAATCTCCCAACCAGGTTATTGACTTATTCAGTTAAGATGTAGAATATTTCCACAAGGGTCTCTAATATCCTGATACAGTCTCATTCATTTCCTTCCTGCCCCCATCCCCTACTTAATGTCTAAAAACCATTAATCTGTTCTCCATTTTTATAATTTTGTTAGTTCAAGAATATTATATAAATACAATCATACAGTATATAACTTCTGGGAGTTTTCTTTTTTTTCACTCAGTAGAGTTCTCTAAAAATTCACCCAGTTTCTTGTGTGTATCAATAGTTAGTTCCTTTTTATTGATGAATATTATTCCATTGTATGTATATACCAGTTTGTTTATTCACCAATCAAAGGATATCTATTTGTTTCCACCTTGGAGCTATTATGAAGAAGGCTGCTGTGAACATTTGTATGCAGTATTTTTATGTGAATATATAAGTCTTAATTGCTCTGGGACAAATGCTCAAGAGTGCAACTGATGGGTCATATGGCAGGTGCAGGCACAGTTTTTAAAGGAAATGTCAAATAAGTTTATGGAGTAGCTGTAAAATTTTAAGTTTCTACCAGCAATTTCTCCACATTTCACCAGTATTTCATTCTGTTTTTAGTTTTAGGTATGAGACTTAGGTCAAGGTTCATTGTTTTGTCCATGGAAGTACATTTGCTCTGGCATGAGTTGTTGAAAGGGCTGTCTTTGCTCCACTGAATTGTTTTTGCATCACTGTCAAAAATCAGTTGGGTATATATTGTGGGGACCTATATCTGGGTTATCTATTCTGTTTCATTAATCTATGTGTCTATCTCTTCCAGCACTACACTCTCTTGCTTCTTGATTACTTAATATAAAGTATTGATTATTTAATATAATATAAAGTAAATTCCTTCCATGTTATTCTCTTTTTAAAATTGTTTCAGCTGTTCTAGGGTCTGTGTCTTTCTACATACATTTTAGAATCATCTTGTCTATGTCTATAAAAAGTTGTAATATGGATAGAAATTGTATTAAATCTATGTATCAATTTGAGGAAAATTGCCATCTTTATTATTATGAATCTTCCGATCAAAAACATGGTATGTCTTTCCATTTATTTAGGTCTCTGATTTATTTCATCAGCATTTTGTAATTTTAATCATACAGATTCTGTACATGTTTTGTTAGATTTATTAGTATTTCATTTTCTTTGGAGTTATTGTAAATGTCATTGTGTTTTAAATTTCTGTTTTCACATACCCATTGTTAGTATATAGAAATGCTATTGATGTTTACATATTAAATTTGTATCCTTCAATCTTGTTGAATTCACTTATTAGTTTTAGTATTTTGTTTTTGTAGACTGATGTTTTCTGTATAGAAAATTATGCCATCTGAAAACAGATCGTTTTATTTCTTCCTTTCTAATTTGTATGACTTTTATTTCCTTTCTGTATTGAAAAAAGAGTGATAAGAGCACACATCCTTACCTTTTTCCTGTTCTCAAAGGGAAGGCATTCAGTTTTTACCCTAAAGTATGATGTAAACTGTGGGGTTTTATAGATGCTCTTTCTCAAGTTGAGAAAGTTCTTTTTTTTTTTTTTTTTTTGAGGCAGGGTCTCACTCTGTTGCCCAGGCTGGAGGCAGTGGCACACAGTGTCACTGCTCACTATAGCCTCGATCTCCTGGGCTCAGGCAATCCTTCCACCTCAGACTTCCAAGCAGCTAGAACCGCAGGTGCACGCCACCATGCCTGGCTAAATTTTAGACTTATTGTAGAGATGAAATCTTGCAAGTTGCCCAGGCTGGTCTTGAACCCCTGGGCTCAGGCAATCCTCTCACCTCCACCTCCCGAAGTGCTGGGATTACAGGTGTGAGTCACCGTGTCTCGCCAAGAAAGTTACATTTTATTACTGGTTTATTGAGAGTTTTAATATGATTGAGTATTGAGTTTTGTGAGTCATTTTTTTGTGTATCAATGTATATTATCATATGACTTTAGTCTGTTGATACTGTAGATTACATGAGTTGCTTGACAAATGTTGAATCAGCTTTGCATATGCAGAATAAAACTCATTTGGCCATAATACTTAGTTATTTTTATACATTCTTATATTTTGTTGAGGATTTTGCATCTAAGTTCATGAGAGATATTGATACGTATTTATTTTTTTTACACCATCCTTTTTTTTTTTTGAGTTGGAGTCTCACTCTGTTGCCCAGGCTGGAATGCAGTGACATGCTCACTCACCACACCAGCATCGACCTGCTGGGCTCCGTGATCCTTTCGCCTCAGCCTTCCAAGTAGCCAGAACTACAGGCGCACGCTACCACACCCAGCTAATTTTTTTACTTACTGCAGAGATGAGGTCTCGTCAAGTTGCCCAGGCTGTTCTCGAACCTATGGGCTCAGGCATTTCCCTCACCTCGGCCTCCCAAAATGCTGGGATTACAGGCTTGAGCCACTGGGCCCAGCCTTTGCACTATCTTCATCTGGTTTTAGTGTACAGTAATACTAGCTTCATAAAATGAGTTGATAAAGTGTTCCCTCCTCTTCTATTTTTTGGAATAGATTGGGTAAAATTGGTGATAATTCTATTTTGGATGTATGGTAACATTTGCCAGTAAAAACATACAGGCCTGGATACTTCTTTTCCAGAAACTTTAAAATTACCAATCCAATTTATTTAGTTGCCAAAGAACTATTCAGGTTGTCTGCCTCATCTTGGTTTATTAGATAGTTTGTGGTTTTTCAGGACTTGGTTCATTTTCTCTAAGTTGTCATATTTATGAGCATAGAGTTATTTGTATTATTCTCTTATTGTTGGGAGCCAGCCACGGAGGCCCACTGAGCATTAGGGATCAGGGAGGGCTGTGGACCCCGAGACCACTAGGATGCGTTCGGGAGCTATTGACCCCATTCTTTCCTCTTTTTCTATTTAGCACACTTAACCAAAAGGAACTCTGCTGACCTAAGCTGAAGGTCCTGTGACTGTGACAGGCATGGCTAACTCTAGAAACTCATTGTTCCTGTTTCCCACGAACTGCGGTTTCGGCTTAGGTATTAGATATAATTCAAACTCAGGTCACATTTGGGAGCCTTCAGTACGGTACAAGCTTCTTTGTAAGATTTAAAAGTATATTTGTAGAATTAGTATATACATATGGAGAGCTATTTTCAGCTTTAGACGGTATAGATGACTATCTAGAGTTACCAGAAATGGCCCAGTACAAACTTTGGACTGGGCCACATTTCTAAGGGCCCAGTATGTACTTTGGACTGGGCTGCATTCTTTTAAACCGGTTTTAGCTGCAATTAGTGGAGGGTTTTTCTATTTATTATAGAAACTGAATTTATTTTACTCATCAAAAGTATTGTAGAATCGGTCATGCTAATGTCAGGGAATTATGTTAGTTCAAGCATGATCAAACATGATTCTTTGAGGTTTAATAAGAATACAGCTAACTTTAAAAATTTCATTGTTCCCATTTTCTACTAATTGCAGTTTTGGCCTTAGTTGAATTTACAGTTTATATTTGGGTTTTATTTTAGAAGCTTTATTGCTGATGATCAGCTTTATATATTAGGATTAGGAATTAGAAAATTTTATAAAAGTTAAGATAGATATATAAGATTTTACAGTAGCCATTTTGCTAAGAGATTATAATCAATTGTTCCCAGAAATGGCCCAGCATGATCTTTGGACTGGGCCATATTCTTTAGGAACTGGTTTGAGCTATAATTAAGAGTTTCCATAGTGTAGATAGAATTAGCATAGAATAGAAAAGGTAATAAGATTTAAGAAAGTCGTTTTAGGTGTTGTGTACGCATAAGCTTTAAAAGTTATTGATTATTAGGACATCATGATGCTAGTGGAGATTGCTGCATTATTTTTGAGGAAAATTAACTGAGCATTAGGAACAGTAAGATAATTTTGGGATTGTTCTTCCTCATGCCTGAGAAAACATCTGGAGGATGGGGGGGCACCCCTCAACCACCTGGCTTTGTGTTCATGTGAAAGTCTTGTGATTTAACCCATGAAAATTTAGGAAAAAAGGTTTATGGTTTGTCCCATTAATGGCTTCTGCACTAGACAGGAGTCCAGCCTCTTTCTTTCTTTCTTCTAATAGCTATCCCTCCAGTTTAATCGCTGATGCCGTCTTTCCTACCAGGGATCCCCAATATCTGCAGGGGCTGGTGCCCCACAACTGGCGCCCAAACAGGGACCCTGGAAAGGTAAGCTTTTTCTCGTTTCAGGATGGCTAGGATCTTACCTAGGGTGCTACAGACGGCGGGCACCAGTTGATGTTATGTTGATATTGACATAATAATTTATAATTAATAACTATAAAATACAATAAAATAGATTTATAATAAATCAATTTTATTTATTCATACATTTACAATATTATTATATACTATGTTATAATATACACTTATAATAATAAAGTATATACTTTATGACAGAATACTGTCAGTAAATATTAACTCAAAACAATGTAAAATGCTAACAATGATTTTTAAAGGATATCTCTATCTACTTACTGTTTTTCCTTTGTTATTTGCATTTCTCAGTCCATGGGGCTTATCTTGAATTAACCTATCTGAAAATTAGGAAAAAAATGATTATTTAAATAAGTCGGCACTTATGATACTTGACAAGTGTATTTTGCAGACACATCCCTCATCAGTGACTGTGAGAATACCTTGGATGAGAGCAAAGGCTCTGGAGAAGACTAACTGGACTAAAATAGTTTTTGTGACTAACTAACCATCTAACTTTGGACAAGTCATTTTGCCTCTCGCAGCCTCAGTTTCCTCATTTGTCAAAGGATGAAGATTCTCCCTCTAGGATTGTTGTGTGATTTAACAGGCTGAAAAATAAAACCAAAATCCTAAGCCACACAACCAACTAAACAGACTTCCCTGTTGGCTAAGGGGATCCCAGATAAACCTTAAAAAGTGAGTTCCTGTCCATAACGCTTTGAGAGACTAGACACATCTCATTATGTTCTTTCATTAACTGCCATTAGGCTTTCTTTCCTAAGGGTTAAACAGAAATCAGCCCTTTCAAAGACTTGTTTCACTGCTACCTGACACTGCTCCTCCCTCTTCTGATTTTAACAAGGCATCTACCTGACCAGTCTTGGTAAAAGACCTCCCTTTACCCTCACCACAAGCGGTTCTGACCAGTTTACAGAGACTGCTCACAAGATACCTCTGTGTCCTTTGTTTCATCTTTTGATATATAGAGGCTAATTTTAATGCATCTAAATATTTCTCTTTAATGCACCACATTTCATTTTATATAATGTAAATAAGTATTAAATATTTATATGCCATATGTAATTTATTGGGTGGGCTGGCTAGGGTGGATCATACCTATAATCCCAGCACTTTGGGAGGCTGAGGTGAGAGGATTGCTTGAGCCCAGAAGTTCAAAACCAGCCTGGGAAACAGTGAGACCACATCTCTTAAAAAAACAAACAAACAAAAAAACACACACAAAAAACAGTTAGCCAGGCTTAGTGGCACTTGCCTGTAGTCCCAGATACTCTGGAGGCTGAGTGGGAGGATCACTTGAACACAGAAGTTTGAGGCTGTGGCGACCTATGATCCTGCCCCTGCACTCCAGTCTGGGTGACAGAGTAAGATCTTGACTTTTAAAAAATTTACATATATATATAGTTAGGGTCACATTCCCAGCGGGGCCTCCAGAATGTTAGGTCAGGCCCACTGGGATGTGGGTGTCTGGTGGGCAATCCAATGCCACATGAAAGATGCAAATAATTGCAAAGAAGTTAGATTGGAGAATATAGTTTAGAAAGCAAATTAGAGGGGGGGGAGATTCACCTCCCCAAGGAGGGAGGTAGGGGAGGGGGCCAAAGCTTAAGAAAACATGGCCTGGCCATAGCTCAAATAGTACATGATCACACCATATCTTAGCAAAGCAATGGCAACTGGTTGCTCCTAGTTGAGTCCTTTTAATCCATCACTTTGATGGGGAAAAGTCATTAAGGTTATTGGGTGGTGGTCTGCTCAACATCATCACAAAGAGGCCGGTAAGCACAGGTACTGATGTCAGGTGATGGACAGCAGCCAGATGGGTGGGTTAGTCACATGATTGCTGCTATGATGGTGGTTTAGATGAGAGGAGAAAAGGGGAGGGGTCTTTCCCGCAAGAGACTTGTCAGATGTTTCCAATTCACAAGCTCCTTAGCAAAAAGGTGGTCTTACCATTTCTATGGCTTTAGCCAGGTAAGGGGTTTTCTTTGAACTTCTGCCTTCCACGAGGAAACTGAAAGTTTCTTAGAGATTATTATCCTAAACCATGAATTGAAAGGTTGGGCTGTCCTTGTCTTGCACCTGACGGTGATTTGCCACAAGGGTGGGATAGGCTGCCAGCTTGACCTGCAGTAAAATGTCTGGACATTTCCTAAAACCTGCCTATTGGAAATTTATCTATGTCTAACCTGTGCTAGATTCAAAGCATGTCAGTCTAAGCAAAAATGACTATGCTGAGGCAAAATGTGAATTAAGTTATTCTAATTTTCTCAAGATCCCTCCTTTCATTTGTACACACAAGTGTGCACACACACACACACACACACACGAGTGGGGGTGCCAAAAAATATATACACATTTTAAGCATGACGTTCACTCAAAAGATGGCATTAATTAAATGAATTGTAGCACCATGTGACAGTCAGGATAGTCAAACAAAATGGCAGAAGCATGGGTGAGCAAATGTCATACTATACATTGCTACTATAATTTAACTTCAGAAAGTAATACATAGATAACATCTCTTAAAATGCGTATACATTTTATATATAAATGTATATACATACATAAATATAAATAAAATAAAACATATATATGAAATAAAACTTTCATACATATAAAAATTTTATACATATAAAGTAAAAATTTTATATGTATAAAATTTGTTGCTTGCCACACCTTTGGTTTGCTTTCCTAAACACTGCCTTTTCATTCCTTTTTTTCCCCTTTCTTTTGAGTTGGAGTCTCACTCTGCCACCCTGGCTGGAGTGCAGTGTCACGCAGGCTCATGGCCACCCCAGCACTAACCTGCTGGGCTCCGGTTATCCTTCCACCTGAGCCTTCCATGCACTACTACATCCAGCTAATTTTTTGATTTATTGTAGAGATGAGGTCTCGCCCAGTTTCCGGGGCTGGTCTCGAACCTGCAGGCTTAGACAATCCCCTTGCCACAGCCTCCCAAAGCCATGGAGCCTGCCACCTTTTAATTCTTTACATGACTGGGCTGTAAGTTTTTTTTTAATTGTATATATATATAATATTGGGTTAATTATATAAGACTGGTTTGCATGAGTAAATTGAAAAGCAGGATGCAAAGTATTGAGGCAAATTCCCCTGCAGCTGTGAGCATGTGAAATTAAACAAATTATCTACTTCCAAAACACAATGGTGGGACAGATTTAAAAGAGATATTCCTATTTCAAAAGGGAAAAATAGATAGGAAGGGATAACTGGTCCCAAGTAAGCTCAAAACCCTATGGGGTGGACACCATCAAATCTCAAGGCTCCAGAATCTTTCTCAATTCCATGTTCCATCTTCTGGGACTCAGTCCACATAACAGTGCTGAAGGGTTGGAGTCTTGTGCCTACAGCTCTCCCATAGCATTGCATGTCAGCAGCTCTATAGTTCTGGGGTCTCTGCAATAGCTTTAAGCCCATAGTTCTGCTGGGCATTGCCCTTAGTGTTGCAAGGCATCTGCCCTTGCAACAAGTGTCTGCCTGGACCTCCAGGTTGTCCATAATATCAAATCAAGTTGGAGGTAGCTATCCTCCACTGCTCATGAACTCTGTGCACCTGCAGAGTTAGCACCATACGCCTGCCATCAAGTCATACCACTTGTGCCTTACAGAATGTCAGCAAGAGCTACACCCAGGTTGGTTGAACAATGGCTTGGGTGGCTGAAGAGTCCTGTGCTGGGGATCAGACACAAGGTGGTACAGGGAAGTGAATGCTGAGGTCCCACAGGCACCTCTCTGGACACCTTACTTTCAAGGTCCTAGCTTGCCTTGGCAATCTCTGAAATGCCTTCAGGGTCATCCTCTCATCCTCTTGAGGAATAGCACCTGGCTCCCTTCTATTCATACTAATTTCTTTAGCAAACAGCTGCTTGCCACACCTTTGGTTTGCTCTCCTAAACAATGTATTTTCATTCTTTACATAGCTGGGTTGTGAATTTTTTAAATCTTTCATTTCTGCTCCTCTTTTAATTATAAATTCCATCTTTAAACCACTTTTCTTCTCTTGCATTTTACTACATAGAGTTTTTTGAAGCCACGAAGCTCTTTCAATATTTTTGCTTAGAAGTTTCTTCCACCAGACATTCTTGTTCATCACTCTTAATTCTGCCTACCATAAAGCCCTTAGGCAGGGAGACAATTTAGCTTAAGTATTTTCCAATTTATAACAGGAAACCTTACTCTGGTTTGTTATTTCTTATTCCCATCTGAACTCTCATTAGAATTACCTTTATTATCTGTGTTTCTACCAACATTCTCATCACAACCACTTACATAATCTCTAAGAAACTTTAGACTTTTCCTACAGCTCTTTTTTTTTTCCTGAGTCCTCAACAGAATCATCCTAACAATCAGTTTATAGAAATGTAGGCTTTTTCTGACCTGCTCTTCCAAATTCTTCCCGTCTCTACCCACTTCCCAGTTCAAAGACATTTCCACATTTTCAGGTATTTGCTATAACAACAATTCCATTTCTCAGTACCAATTCTTTCTTAGTCCATATTTTTGCTGCTATAATGGAATACCAGAATATCCGAGGCTGGGTAATTTATAAGGAAAATAAATTTATTTTTGTAGTTCTGGAGTCTGGGAAGTCCAAGATCAAAGGCCCAGCAAGAAACTTCTTACTGCATCATCACATGAGAGAAGGCAGAAGGGCAAGAGATGGTGTGACAGAGAGACATTAGGGGGACAAAATCCTTTTATAAAGGATGCACTCCCATGGTACAAGCCCTCTCTCATGATAACAGCATTACTCCATCATTCCACCCTCATGGCCTAATCACCTCTCAATAGGCCCCATCTCCCAACACAATGGGGATTAAGTATCTTAAATTTTTCCTAGCATTTAAAGTATTAGCTTCTGAAACTGACATCTTATGGTCCCAAATAGCTTTCTGCACCTTAGTATATGTTCTTAGAATGTATGATACTGTATGAAACAGATGTATGGAGACAAATATGGCTAAAGCATTAAACTTTAATCCTGTTAAAACCCTTCATCTCTCCACATTCTACTATTCAAGCTGAGTTAAATCTCTTATTTAGGGACTTTATTCTAAAACTATACTTCTCAATTCAACTTTTATCTGATTCCTTTTCCCATAAGTCTTTAATTGGAGAACACTCTTCCCTCTATACTAGGGGTTTTAGCTGTCTTCCTGTGTTCTCTTCATTTTAATTAGATTGCTGCACCTGCTCTAAATGGATATGCAGTCGCTACACAGCTATGACTATTCCAATTGTTAGAATATTACAACACTTCTATACCAACTGGTAAAAAGTTGCTACCTCGAGAAATTTGTGTCATCTTACACGTATCGCCCCAACTACCTTGATTCCCTTAGGAACCCTCCATTTCCCTCAACTCCAAGGAGGAACAGCAGGAGGTCTTCGACAGAATTATGACCCAACAGAATTATGTGATCTGGGCTTTCTAGGCTTATGCTGTATGTTCAATATTTTTGTTATAACCTTTGGGTAATATATTGAATATGTCTTTATAATGCTCTCACTGAACTACTTCTTGAATTGGAAAAACCTCTTCATTAGATTGATCTACAGGGTGGCCAAAAAGTTTGGAAACACAGATAAATAAATGTAATAATTGGTTTGCTAATGTTATAATACATGTAAAATAAAAATTATATAGGTTTCCAGATTTTAAGGCCCACCTGTATTTTCCTTCTCTTGATTTTTCACTAATGCTGTAATTCCATAGATTTTCATGCCAATGAAAAAAAAATCATAGTGTAATTTACCTTTTGAGAGAAAGTTTTGGCAATAATTATTTTACATGAGTTCATGTTCCCAATATCACTGAATAAATATTTGAAAATTATAATAATTTATAAATAAAGAATAACTTACCTCCAAAATAAGGATAAATTACATTTTCATTCATTTTTAGAGAAGGAAAATATAGACCCTGAAATAATAAAAGAGAAGAGAAAGATAAAATAATTAAACATCAATATAATTTTTTTTTTTTTGAGTTGGAGTCTCACTCTGTCACCCAGACTGGAATACAGTGGATGCTCCCGGCCACCGCAGCCTCAACTTGCTGGGCTCCGGTGATCCTTCCGCCTCAGCCTTCCAAGTAGCCGGAATTACAGGCATGCACTACCACGCCCGGCTGATTTTTTGATTTATTGTAGAGATGAGGTCTCGCTGCCCAGGCGGGTCTTGAACCCGCGGGCTCAGGCAATCCACTCACCTCAGCCTCCCAAAGGTGCGGGATTACAGGTTGAGCCACCGAGCCCGGCCTAATATAATTTTTAAACAGTATTATAAATGGCTATACATAATAAAATGAGAATGAATATTATCATTTTTCTTTATCTTACATAAAGAAAAGAATTTATTACAATTCAACCACTGCAATTGGGAGATGGTGAGAGACAAGTACGGCTAAAACATTGTATTAGTAGGTTGTTAAGGTGGGAAGTGCCAAGTACTAAAAGAAAACTCATGATATTGCTTGGCATATCATTAACCTTTTCTCATTCTCCAAGCCCCAGAAAACAAAAATCGTAATTTAAATAATAAATACTAAAATAAAATAAAACAAAATATTATCAAAGACAAACTACATCAAAAAAGAAGGTAGAAGTGACATCACAAAAATGACGGAGCAGGATGCTCAAATAATTTGTCCCTCCACTGAAGTAAATATAAACTGACAACAACTGACATAGCAACTATTTCAGCCCTTCATAATGTAACCCCAAATTTGCGGCAAACAGGAGGACTGCTTAATGAAAAAGAGTGTAGACAAATTTTGGTGTTTGAAAAAAATCTGTCAGGTCACTGGCTGACCACATAGATAATGAAACAGATTACAAATTCACTGCAAACAAGGAAAATAGTTTTTGCAAAAATAGTTTAGATAAGTCATTAAATAAATGAATGAATGCAGCCCTCAACAATTAATAGAAACCCTGGGAAAATTCATTCCCAGAGTTACCACATTATAATATTTAAAATCACAATTTTCATCAATAAATTACAAGGCATACAAAGCAGGAAAGACAGCCCACTCACAGGGGAAAAAAATTAACAGAAGCCACCCATGAGGAAGCAAAGATTTTGAATTTACTAGACAAGGGTTTTTAAACAACTTTTCTAAATATACTTAAAGAGTTAAAAGGAATCATGGACAAAGTACAAAAGAAAGCTAGGAAAAAAATACATGAACAAAAATATAAAATCAATGAAGAATTAGAAATTATAAAAAAAATTGAAATTCTGCATAAGCAAGTGCAATAACTAAAATGGAAGAAGAGGCTGGGCTTGGTGGCTCAGCCTATAATCCCACACTTTGGGAGGCCAAGGTGGGTGGATTGCCTGAGTCTGCGGGTTCAAGACCTGCCTGAGCAACTTGGCGAGACCTCATCTCTACAATAAATAAAAAATCAGCCAGGCATGGTAGCACGCGCCTGTAATTCCAGCTGATCGGAAGGCTGAGGCGGAAGGATTGCCGGAGCCCAGCGGGTCGAGGCTGTGGTGGCCGGGAGCGGCCACTGCACTACAGTCTGGGTGTCAGAGTGAAACTCCAACTCAAAAAAAAAAGGAAGAAGATTCAAGTAAGGGGCTCAACTGCAGATTAAAGCATGTGGAAGATAGAAGCAGTGAAGTTAAATATTAGACATTTAAAATTATCCAGGATGAAGAGCAGAAAGAAAAAAAGAATGAGAAAAGTGAACAGAGCCTAAAGAAACTATGGGGCAACCATCACATACACAGACGTACACATTATGGGGTCTAGGTAAAGTGAAAGAAAGAGCAGGAATGAATATTTGAAGAAGTTATGGGCTACTGCCACTGCTACGGCTATTGCACGTCGCACCGCCCATGCCTGAGGTGATCCACGCCTTCAGACCTTGAAGCCCCTGCAAGCAAGATCTGCTGAGATTGCTGCCGCCCCTACTGCCACTGTGACATCCCAGGCCATGGGTCTCCTCCCATGTGCCTTGAGGCAGCTCCCATTTCCAGTTTCTTTCCAGCTCCCGCCCCTGTGGGGTGAGCAGCTGAGATAAAGACCATCTGGAGCGGTGAGATAGCAACACCTGCTGGCGATTCAAGGTAACAACACCAAAAGAAGAAAAACAGAACCTTGATAGACACAGGCCAGATCTGAGTGGTAAACTGGTCAGTAGTGAACTGAGCGGAGATCTGAACTGCCTTTCACAGCAGGCCAGGGGCAACTGACCCTATCTGTGAAAAAATTTACCAGCCTGAAAAGACAGCTAGAAATCAGAGCTGAAAGTACATTGGAATTAAATGATAAATCTCAGAGTGTGCATGATTGGTTCTATTAGTTTACTGACTTGATTCTATCCCTTTTGATTTTGTTCTTTTTTTTCTCTTCTTTTCTTATCTTCTCTCTGTAAACCATATCTTTGTATAGAGGAATAGCACACCAATAAGGAGATTGGTTAGCTTGTATGTTAGCATCATTGTATGTTTTAGTTTTTTTTATGAGAGTTGGTTAGTGTAGCCATGGTCTATTGTTTTTATCTGTTTCAGTTTTTGTCTATCTCTCCATTTGTTGGTACACTCGTCTGTTTTCTCCCTTACTCCTCTCTCTTTCCACCCCCCTCTTACCCCCACTGTCTGCTCCATTCTATTCCCTCTGTTAACCTCATTTTATTTCAGGGTAAACCTAAAACCCCACTGCACCAACAGATTCCAAGGCAGTGGGAAGTGGGTTTCAGATTATTCATACACCTGTCAGCAGATACTAGGACCTGCAGAGAGATTTTGAATCACAGCTCCCCCCTTAAGTAAACCTCAAAACTGCAAAAAGGACCACTCCCAACCTATAGTGCAACTCCAGAATTGAACAAAGTAAGAGGATATACATAAAGAAGAATAGGAGATTGAACAAACAGAAGTAAAAGCAACCCCTCCACCCCCGAATAACAGAATTAAAGAAGACAGTGATATGGAGGGAAGGAAAAAGTAGGGAGGAAAAACTGCACAAATGAAGAAAAAAACCAAAAGAAGAATATAGCTCTCACACAGACCCCTGGGAGGTCAGACACCGAGAAAACAGACTTCGGAACACAAGCAATGAAGAGCACCCAGAATGACTGGTCACATGCAACAAACCCAGACATCAAGACATTAATAGAGAGAATTTAAAAAATTGAGGAGAGACAAGAGGAAAATAAGAAGGAGCTGATGACAGAAATAACAGCAGTAAAGAATACTGTGATGGAAATAAATAACAAACCAATAAGCATGGAAAGCAGAATTAGCCAAGCAGAAGAAAGAATCTCAGAGCTTGAAGACCAAAACACAGAACTAATCCAAATTGTCAAAAACATAGAAAAGAAGCTTAAAAAGACAGAATAAAACCTTCAAGAGATGAATGATTACTTCAACAGAAAAAGTCTAAGAGTAATTGGCCTTCCTGAGGCAGAGAGAGAAACAGACCACAGTGGAAAAAAATTTCATGAAATTATTCAAGAAAACTTCTCTCATCTCATCAGTGATGCAAAAATCCAAACACAAGAGATTCAGAGAACCCCTGCAAGACAACAAATGAGAAGACCAACTCCTAGACATATAATAATTTGCCTAAAAAAGTAGGTATAAAAGAAAAAATCCTAAAGGCTGCAAGAGAAAAAGGTCAGACTACCTACCAAGGAAGACCAATTAAAATAGCAGCAGATTTATCTACAGAAACCCTCCAGGCTAGGAAAGCTTGGAGCCCTATCATCAAAGTTCTAAAAGATAAACAATTTCAACTGAGAATAATCTATCCAGCCAAGCTAAGCTTCATCAGTGAGGGAGAATCGAAATCTTTTCCAGACATTCAATCCTAAGAACCTATGCTACCACCAGACCACCTCTACAAGAAACACTTAAGAAAGTATTGAATACAGAAGAAAAGGAAAAAAGAACAACATTCTTCACAAGAGTACAGGCAAAAGTTTAAAAACACACATGAACTGATCTAAAACCAAAAGAAAGACAACACACAAATAGGAAGAACAACACCAACTCTGTAAGAACATTATGACAGGGATCAACTCTCACATTTCAATAATTAGCTTGAACGTGAATGGACTAAATGCACCACTGAAAATACACAGAATGGCAAAATGGATAAAATATCACCAGGCAACAATTTACTGCCTTCAAGAGACTCACATCACTAGAAAGGACACTCACAAACTCAAAGTAAGAGGATGGGAAATAAATTTTCAGGCAAACGGAACACAAAAGAAAGGAGGAGTTGCGATCTTAATCTCAGACAAAACACCCTTTAAGCTATCAAAATTTAAAAAGATACAGAAGGGCACTACATACTGATTAAAGGTTCAATCCATCAACAAGAAATATCCATCCTAAACATATATGCACTCAACATAGGAACACCAACTTTCATAAAGCAGTTTCTAGGTAAACTAAAAAAAGATATCGACTCCAACACCATCATAGCAGGGGACTTCAATACCCCACTCACAATCCCAGACAGATCATCAGGACAAAAAATCAGCAATGAGATCCAAAACCTCAATGGAGTGTTATGTAGGTATCAATTATATTATGTAGGTATCACACCTCAGTGGAGTGTTATGTAGGTATCAGACCATTAGGACAAAAAATCAACAATGAGATCCGAAACCTCAATGGAGTGTTATGTAGGTATCAATTAAGTCCATTTGGTCAAGAGTAGGTGACTCTTGACCAAATGAACTTAATTGATACCTACATAACATTCCATCCAAAGACCACAGAATACACATTCTACTCATTACCGCATGGAATGTACTCTAAGATCGACCATATACTTGGCCATAAATCAAGCATAAGCAAATTT